ATATAGTTCACTCTCCCTAAGCTTAAGCCTTTTGTAAACAAATCTGCCCATTGATCACCTGAGCCCACATGTTCTGTGCTTATCTCTCCAGTAAGGACCTTCTCCCTCACAAAGTGGCAATCAATCTCTATGTGCTTTGTTCTCTCATGAAAAACAGGGTTGGATGAGATGTGAAGTGCAGCTTGATTGTCACAGTACAATTTCATAGGTCTATCCCTGGAGAACCCGACTTCTTGTAGGAGATTCCTCAGCCATACTAATTCACATGTAGTGTGTGCCATGGCTCTGTATTCGGCTTCGGCACTGCTCCTTGCCACAACCATCTGCTTCTTACTCTTCCATGTCACAAGATTTCCTCCAAGAAATGTGCAGTAACCTGTAGTAAATCTTCTATCAAACACAGAGCCTGCCCAATCTGCATCTGTATACCCAATTACTTCAAGTTTTCCTCCTGGTTGTACAATAACCGACGGCCTGGAGCTCCCTTCAGGTACCTTACAATTCTAAGAACTGCATCCCAGTGAGGTATCCGTGGGTTCTGCATAAATTGGCTTACCACACTGACTGCAAAGGAGATGTCTGGTCTCGTGATAGTCAAATAGTTCAGCTTCTCCACTAGTCGTCTATACCTTCCARGATCATCAAATATTTCCCCTGTATCACTACTCAACTTAGCATTTGGTTCCATGGGAGTTTCAGTTGGTTTTGCACCTAACAGTCATGTTTCATCCAACAGATCAAGAACATATTTTCTTTAGCACAGGTTTATACATTGTCTTGATCTAGCAACTTCTATACCCTATAAAAACTTCAATGTCCCAAGGTCTTTTGTTTGAAAATGATTTTGCAAAAAGACCTTTAGTTTATCGATCCCCAATTTGTCACTACCAGTTATGACAATATCATCCACATAGACCACTAATAAAATCTTTTCGGCTTCTGAATCATAGTTGAACACCAAGTGGTCAACCTGGCATTGTTTCATTCCAAAATTCTTCACCACTTCACTAAACTTCCCAAACCAAGCACGAGGCGATTGTTTTAACCCATAAATTGCCTTTTTCAGTCTGCACACCTTACCATCCTCCCCCTGAGCAACAAACCCAAGTGGTTGCTCCATATATACCTCCTCCATAAGGTCATCATGAAGGAAGGCATTTTTAATGTCAAGTTGAAACAAGGGCCAATCATACATAACTGCCAGGGAAATTAAGACACGAACAGAGCCAATCTTAGCCACTGGAGAGGTCTCCATATAGTCCACTCCATACAACTGTGAATAACCTTTAGCAACAAATCTGACCTTCAGACGCTCCACACTACCATCTGGCTAGTATTTAACAGTATACACCCATTTACAACCCACAACATGCTTACCAGGTGGAAGAGTAGTGAGCTCCCACGTGTGAGTATACTGAAGGGCAGAGAGTTCCTCCTCCATTGCCTACCGCCACCCAGGTGAGCTAAGAGCCTCTCGAACATTCTTAGGTATAGAAATAGATG